TCCACGGCAATGTCCGAGCCAATACCGTAACTCACACCGGTACAGGCAAACTCGAGACGAGTGGAGCCGTCCTCGTTACTGGCTTGGCACGTCATCACATCGAGCGGACGGATCTTGCGTTTGATGATGCAGTACACCGACGACGCGTGCGTGGGGGTACCCACGCCTTTGCCAAAGGCGTTGTCTGTGCCAGCACAAATGAGCGAAACGGGGGTCGTAGCGACCAGTGTGCGCCACACACTCTCCTCGCGCGAGAACACACCGTTCATGAACTCGTTGACCGTGCCGTCGCCGCCGACGAACACGATGGCTTCGTATTTCATGTCCAGGTCGAACGCCGCGCCGATATCGCGCGCATGTCCGCTGTATTGCGTCTCCTCCACGTCGCACTGGATGTTGGCGAGCTCCAGTAGCGGTCTCCAGTGCTCCCAAACTTTACGTCCGCGACGTCGACCCGAGTGTGGGTTGACCACTACCTTGATACGACGCGTCACGTTCTCCGGCACACGGGCCAGCCATTTCACAAGCGCTTGCAGGGAAGCCACCAGCTTATTGGCTGTGGCTTCGTCACTGAAACGCAGAGTAATGGTACGGTATCGACGCATGAGTCGACGGTGTTCCTTGCCTCGGCCTGGCAGCATGAAGTGCACGTCCACGCTGGTCTTGCTACCGGGCGTGAGCGACGCAGCGAGTAGATCGTCCTTGAAGATCTGGAACTCCTTGGTTTTCTTGCGGAACAGCGACACGCGCTGGCAATTGATGCCGTCGCGGTCCACCTGGACGGTCATCTTGCGCCAGACCGAGCCGATCTGCATCTCCATTTGCGCCGTCATGACGCACTGCTCGGGGAACTCGCGAAGACGGTGCGAGTGCATTTCACGCACGATCTCGCGGGCTGATGCGGCCGTGGAGAAGCGGAAGCGCACTTGACGATTCTCAATCGCCTCGATCGCGGCGTCGCGTTGTGGACAGCCGGCCCAGCTCTTAGACCGCGTGAGTCTCAGACTCGTGGGCGTCTCACCGGCCTCGCTGCTGCTGTCGTTGTCCTGCGCGGGCGCGTCTTTCCTGGGTACGAGGCCTTGCGTCGGTACAGCCACGGTCGAGGCTCGTCGGAAGTGGTTCTTGGCCGGTGATACCGGGCGGTTCGCGGCGTCCTGCAGTATTCGCTCGCGCACCTCGCGGATACGGTCGCGGTCCTCTCCTGTCAGCGCCTCGCCGTCGCTGCTGGCGGCCGTCGCATTCGATAGGCGCTTGGTCTTGACGTCGACATCGTCGTCACTGTCGTCCTGCGGCTCGTGGAACAATTGGTTCTCGTCCTCGATGGTCTTCACGGGCCCGATATGTTCGGGCTCGTCGTCCCTGGCGCTCGTAGGGAGCACCGCCATGGACGTACGTTGCTGGTTGGTAGAGAGATAGAGTTCTCTTGTTGCTGGGAAGTATGCGAATGAACGAACTTGTTTCCGCCCGGAAAATGCTGATTGCGCTCCGTCGGAAGTTGCAGTCAGCTGAAACAGCGATATAGAGACCGCATGGGTTAACATGGTGCATTCGAAATAAAGGTCATAATAAATGCTGGTTGATTTTGAAAGTGGGAGATATTTTAGATGATAGATGAAAGGTATATGCCATGCTCTAGTGAGTACTTGCGAAAAAGTGTATGTTGGCATCATCAGATGCATGGACGGAACGAAAAGGCCCATTACCAGTGCCTATTTTGATATCGTGGAGTGAGTAGGCTACTCAGAATGCACTTTGTCGCTGCCTGGAAATGGCTCGAGTAGAAGAGCACATGAATAATAGCTTAAGCTTGGTAAGGGCGCCTGATAGTGCGTGACTTCCAGCATTGCCGTTTATTTTTATTTTGATTTCAGATGTGCGCTGGAAAGTTAGTGAACGCTACTAACAGCGAACGCTGCAAAAATCTATAGATGTCGCTGCTGAAGCAGAGTAATAACCGCAGCTAGTGTGTTTTTTTCTTGTGCATCCGTAGGTCACAAAGCGCTCTATCCACTACGGCGGTAATTATTATAATGTTGCGATAAAAATTGAGTGGGTTTCATTGCAAGCTGGGCGTATGTCCTTCCCTTCATTTGCTAGAAGAGACTTTAAACCCACCCTCTGGGCGCGAGCTGTCTTATGGAGGGCGTGCGTGTAGTTTTATGTGAAAACGAAAAAGCTCGTCGCGAGTTTGTATTAGTTTACTTTGGCTGGCGCGACGGGATGGTGCAACACAGACCAGCTCCATACAGAATTTTCCCCAGGACTTCACCACACTACTATATTTAGTGAAATACTTCAGTTACACAATTGTGCTGCCTTCATTTTCTGAGCAATATTGGCGGTCGAGCGCTAGAAAGCTACAATTCCTACCGAGATACCCATCGATGACACAACATGCCAGAGGATTTCGAAGCAACAGCTATTAGGCTCGCAGAAATTTAGGCTGTGTGTTGTTTACACGTACCTTCCCGTAATCCATCCAGGATCAAGTTAGACCCCACGCATTGCAGGTAACAAGCAGCCAGCGATTATGTGCTTGTATCACGGTAATATTGCGCATTTCGTCATCAAGCTTGATACAACCTCGGCAGTATCGTGATCGTGAAGACCGTCTCCGAACGAGAAAGACTGATCAAACAGCAAATCGACCCAAACACGAAAAGCACTTATTTAATGGGTATTTGGACCCATTATTATCTTCGCCCGTCGATTACGTGCGCCCGATTGCGCCACAAAAAGTGTGCGTCATGTGTTTTTGTGACTGGCGGATAAGCGGTCACCAACCAGGTTGCCAATAAATCCGTCTCCTTGAAATGCGGAGCTGTCAACTTTGATTGCGAACTTCGAGCATCGCTTTGTTGGCATTCGGTTGGCGGTCGTGCTCGAATGAAGCAGAGATCCGAGTTTTGCTAGTTGTCTGCTTGAATTGCCGTTTTCGCTGCCACGCGCTCTCACTGAAGTCGGAGGGTATCAGTTGGACCCGTCCGACCTTGGCCCGCCTCAGGCCAGTGCTGTACTGGAGTGGCTCGGAGTTGCGGGTGTAGAACGGTGACCGTAGATCGCACTCATGTCACGTGTGCGATAGCGGAGGCTGGTGGCCAGCGAATGCTGCTTCCATAGGTGGCGTTTTGCCCGCGATGCGATGGCTTGATCCGGGACATGAGCACCAGATGCGATACAAATTTGCCTCTCACCCGGGGCTGCGTCGCAACTTGCGACTCGCAAGTACATGTACATTTCGCCGATGTCTACGTTCCGCCGATTATGGGCCGCCGCGTTGGCACGCGATCCGGTCTATGGCGCCTGGATTTCGAGCGCGCATCGCGGCTTGCCGTCAACAACGTGAATACTTCGGAGAAATCATTTTTCAAAGAGTATGACGGGGTTTCTTTCGGATGAGTGCTCGTATGAATAGGATAGGTTACGTTCGCTTTCATGCAAAGTATTCGAAATGAAATCTAGGTAGTGTTGCTGCTTTTTTCACAATTGAACGCACTTGTCCACTCCTGCTCATACTGCGGTGGTTAACCGATTCCATAGTTGGCAAATATCACTTGGCTCGTGGAACCGGGTGCGCTAGAATGGCTCGCGCTGAAGAAAGCGATGCTGATGATCTCGAGGATTATACCCTTCCGTGGTGTGAATAAAGTCTGCTGTTAACCCCCGCGATAGCGATCGGCGCAGGAACGGAGGCTTTTGGATAGTGTACTCACCGAAGGCTTGTGCGGTTTCAGCGCGTCGGCCTTTGAAATCGCCAAGGTGTATTCGAATAACCTGAAATGTACGTGTATAAATTCGAAATCGCCTTAGTTTGA